TGTTCAGAGGACGTGAGTTCGATTCGATTCAGAACGCATCGGTTATGCAAAATCTTTGACAAAGTTTCATCTTTGCATTTAAGAGATCGCAATCAAGAGGGCTTAGTTGCGACACATGGATAGATACGGATTTGATAGATACAGATTATAAGTTACGGATTTAATTTGAATAAAATGCGCAGATTGCGTCAAATGATAAACCAAAAGCATGTTGTGGCATGATCAACCTTAGATCATAGAATTTTCGGTTATAAATGGAGACATCAACCATAAAGGAGAGAACTTTCTGTCTCTAGTATCGCGATACGATATCGCGCAGCTATCCATGGATAAAGACAAGCCATTATAGGCTGATTATAGGAGATACAGAATACAAATTTTTTAGAGAAAATATGGAATTTGCAAAATGGTCTGCAATCGGATCCAAAAATCAAAAAATTCAACAAAGAAATCACATACTCGTCCTTGATCTTTGGTGATTGCACCATTGCGTTTACCGATATTCAGCCAATTTGCTAAACGCAACGCTTTCGAATCACTTTTCGTCGATATCGTATCCAAATGGTCCGCTTTCGATAGCACGTACGATGCTTTATGTCCTATTTAAGAACTTGAATGAAATAGAGAACGAAACAAAATTAATAGCTTCTGCTTCAGATCTCGTACGGAAATAAAGCACCGATAGAAATCAACAACATAATCTGCTGATCAATAGAACTTGATCTGTCAATAACAATTCATCGATACTATCAATGAATTGACTGATTTGTGATCAAATATAAACTTCAGAAATATTACGGATCATTTTTGGAGGAATAATTTGAAAATCAGTTAATAATAATTTGCCAATTTTCCCAGTCTCTTCGCTCTAAAATCCTCAAATCCTTAGCGAGAAGGCGAACTCGCGCTGCAGTGATTTCACTGACCCTGTGCATTGAAACAAGATCACAATCGATAAATTTGACGCTCGTCGGAGAATTAATTGACTGACCTCTTTTCAGAGAGCACGCTCGCCTGGAACAGAAGCTTCTGAAGCGTTCGAATAGCTCTCGTGGACTCGGCAAATGTTTGGAATCACTTCTCGACTGATCACTTAACGTATGCGATGAAGTTGCCGACTTGATCACCTGCTGCTGATCGTTGTCCTCGATCGGTTTAGTCTCTTTGCACTTTCGCCTTCAATTCGATAACTAACTAAGCTAACTCAACGCTTTTAAGAGCCCTTGAAAGTGCCCCAAAACTGTCATCAGATCTAACAGGGACGGTGTGATTCGCCATTGACATTTTATGACTTCCTATCTCAAAATCTCTTAGGTTCACATGTCAGTCGAACTGAAGATTCCAATTGATATCACGAAAAAATTGAACTATTATACGGTAACGAATAATTATTATTGTTACTCAAACATCAAGTGGTTGTTTTGTCAATCGCTGTGAGCGATCGGCAGAATATTTATTTTATTAANGGAAACGTAAAACAACCAGTGATCACATTCAATTACGAGTTGAATGAATGAATGAAGAATGTTCTAGTGGCTCCACACAGGGAATCATTCAAAAAGCATAATGCCTCCGAATGGATCAGCGCAGAAAATTTGCTCGTCAGATCTTACTTTTTCTCAGTTTTCTTGCCGGTGGATTTGTCTTTTTTGGATTTTTTCTTGACGTCTTTAACGGTTTTCTTTTGCTTTGTCTTCTTCGTCACCTCGAGACCGTCTAGAGTACTCGTCGTCACGAAACCGTTCTCACCGATCTCAACGATTTCAATGTCGTTGCCACGTAACTCAACGATTTTTGTGCGTTGTTGCGCTGTTGAATTCTGTAGATCTGCGCTCTCCTGCAATCGCCGAATTATGAGATTGGATAAGAGATTAATTAAGATTAGTTAAGAATACTAGTTAAGTCATCAAGCTGTTGCTACCTACAAATGCAACAACAAGATATCTCTAAGTGACCACAAAGTTGGATCACTAGTTGACAGACGGCAGATCCAGGAAGATAAGATTAAGAAAGGACAACAATATCAAAACATTTTGGAAACGTTAAACATGCCACTTCCTCAAAAATCTACGTTCAGCCTAATAAGAATGAAGACAACGTATGAAACAACGATGGAACAGGATATTGCAATGATGAATATAAAAAATTATTGGAAACAATTCTCTCGAAGCGACTTCTCGAAATCTAAACTTTTGCCTAAAAACAGTTTGCTACTGAGCGATTGATTGACTGATCACATGATCAAATGCTCAACTGACTGATCAAAACTGATGACATTCTATCAGATTCGAACGCTGTGCAAATTCCAGCAGAGGATTCGTAAAAATTAAGGAAAGAGCTGGAAAGAACATGAAAAAAAACGACGATAGCACTGGTAAAGTTACGCGCAGCTGGATTTACAAAATAAACGATATCTATAGATAGATATTCACATATCAGAAACGAGATCTATAATTAATTTCTAGAAATGTTATTTCCGTTTTCAAAAAAATTCTTAGCAACTTTTCAGACCTTCTTACTCCCTTCCGCTCACTCAAACAAGCACTCGCGTTGCAATCGGAAATCAGAGTAAATTCTGTGAGAATGTCACCAAGCAAGCGATTCAAATGAGCGATTTTGCAAAAACATTTCAATGCGACAAGAAAGGCCTTTGACATTCTCAAGAAAGGCCTTTAATGACACTTCTAGTGACTTCCAAATCGTAATAATTTCTAATCGCTGCCCAATTCATAACCATAAAATAACCGCAATAATCATTGAAGATTGT